CAGTGGCCTTGGAAGTCATTCAGCAGATGTCAAGACCTCATCAACGCATGTAAAATAATGGTCCTCTTGCCGGCACGTATATGTATCACGGGTTCTTCCGCCGAGACACGTATGTATAATGAGTAGTCTCGTGTACACCTGTATGTATAACGAGTAACCGTCTACACACCTCGTGTGTATAACGAGTAACTGTCTACACCCGTATGTATAACGAGTAACTGTCTACACCTTATTCACACCACCCGTGTGTATAACAAGTAACCGTCTACACCCGTATGTATAACGAGTAACCGTCTACACACGTGTTTATAACGAGTAAATGTCTGCACACGTATGTATAACGAGTAACTGCCTACACCCGTATGTATAACGAGTAATTCGCTCTACAGACGTATGTATAACGAGTAAGTGCCTACACCCGTATGTATAACAAGTATGTGCCTTACACACGTGTTTATAACGAGAAAATATCCACACCCGCATGTATAACGAGTAACTGCCTACACACGTTTGTATAACAAGTAACTGCAGATACACGTATGTAGAAATAATGAGCTTCCTACACACCTGTGTATAACGACTAACTGTCTACACCCGTATGTATAACGAGCAAGTCTGCCTAAGTGCCTACACGTATGTATAACAAGTAACCGCCTACACACGTATGTATAACGAGTAACCGCTTACTCCAGTCTGTATAACAAGACAACTACCTTAACAAATATCTGTTAGAGTAAGGTATGTATGTGTGAGAAGTAACTTTACAGATATGCATATAACTGCTTACGCTGGAGTAACTGCCTCATTCCCGACCAAGGTTGATAGATGTATAGATTTCCGTGGTTAATTGCTGCAGGTTATAAAAATGTAGAAGTATAATAAAAGGTGAAAGCGGCGTCCATAAAATCAAACTAGTAATATCACCATTCACCGGTGTATCGCCAACAAGCTTTGCCTCGATGTGATACACGATTAATTTGTTTTAGTATCGATTCATATTTTCTTTGACATACACTAGACGCCAAAAGAAACGTTACCTCCTACCTTTATGAATTCACTGAACAACTATCAAAGGTATGTTAGAAGGTTTTAGCTTACAAGAAAGCTTAACAACACAGCTTTATGCAACCACATGAAAACAATTCTCAAATGCATTCATATTTAGGTGAAATGTAATATTTTTCAGAAGAGTTAAATTGTCCTATATTCGCCCATGCCGAAATAAACTAATAATAGTGATTTGAATGTCCAAAAGAAAGGTTGAAATAAAATTCTGCTTTTGGTACAATGATAAACAATTTAAAGTCACCATTTTTCAACTACTATAACAAGAAACAAGGGTTGTAGAGTGACTGTGTAAAATTGTAAAATAATCATTCCTATGATTTCAGTCTTTTAAAACAATTTCTGCTGATTTGCATTAGTGAAAACAAGTAAAACGTGTCTTTTAATAAAGTGAACAAATGTTTTGATACATCTAAAAATTATCTTTGTTAATATTTTGCTTGCAAAGTAACACTTTTCCTTTTCTGTTTACACATAGCAATATCAATCGCCAAAACGCAGCTATATTCAAGCTGTATTTACATCCATTTCACATGTGGAATGATTCTATAGGGTATAAAGTGAGCCTAGAATACATGTTCTGATACACAAAGTGCGTACGAGAAATATGCCACGATTAACAGCTGAAGGGAGAGAAAGAACCATTGGGATGGTGCAGATGGGGTCGACATACAATGTTGTTGCCAACGCCCACGGATGCCACCGTATCACGGTTATAAGACTTATACAGGGCTTCAGACAGACTCAGTCACCGTAGACAGATCAAGAAATGGACGTCCACGCATCACAACGCCAGCTGAAGATAGGTACCTCCGTCATTAAGGAAGGAGGGTAACGCGTTTTTTACGTTTAGTGTACATATTATTTTGCATGTTGCACCTGATATTTCATATACATTACTTGTTGGATACAAAGACATTATTAAAGTGAACTTAACACATCTTCTCTTGTAATTTTGTCATACAGAATATCAAATGTGACTAAACTTGGTGAGTGTGGTTGATGGACTCTTGGGTGATATACTCAGGTTTCCTTCTCGAGTAATCTCTCCAAAATATTTGGTGACTGGTGAGCTATGGTATGAGTTTGCCATCAAAGTATTGGATGCTTGCTACGCGCAAAATGTCGGAAATGTAGCATCCGATACGTATCGTATCAGGACTTCAGTATAATAATTATTATTATTATTATATTATTGTTATTATGACATGATTTGTTTGTTCAGAATGTTCATCAGAATCGTATTGTTTCCATGAGATATGTGTGGCTGTATACACCAACATACTCTACCTGGGCAAAGTCAAAACATTGATAACACAACAGTCTCGTTTCCTGTTGACTGGGTGCCGTCCTATTGCGCAACTTAGTACAATAACCAGTCCAGAAATTTAGGACCAATTCATTTAACTGGATGCATAATTATTAATCAGTATTATTTGATACATATATGCACTTGTATATTGGAACACTACGCTCCTTCTAATCCTTGCAAACACGTCGTGCAGCGTGCTCTGTCGTACAGCGAGCTCTGACAAACGGAAACCTGGAAATCGTGGAGATCTCAAAACGAGGCTCTCCCGCTAGAAAGGTTTGTCGGTCTGGTACGGGCTTGATATTATATCAATCACCTTGTGCGTTACAGAACTACACTGAGTAAGCACAAGAAAACACATAACAGGTGTAACCAGTGAGCCAGATGCATTGTGAATCATTTTACGACCTCATCAAACAGGGGCAGTCTGTGACGTGTTAGTTAAGGACATCCTGCCTACACTTCGCCATAAAATATAGAAATACGATGTTATTAAAGTTTAAAATTAAAATTCGTTTGCAAATACCATTTCATTAGGAAACAAGGAATTGGAAGTCAATGTAACCATAGTTGTTTATGATGTCTATTTTCACTTTCACACGAGAAAATTCGGATCGGCTGAAAAGTAGGTCATTGTCTGAATAGGTTAATGAGACTCATGTTTCGGTTTGTACTTGATCAATACGTTGACACAATTCACACACATTCACACGTTGTGGGCAAAAAATGACAGAAAACACGAACAATAATTACTTGTAAATATGAGCATTTTATTGTTTTTCTGTATAAATGGTAACTTGAAGAAGATCGACACAAATGTTATAACATATCAAGGTAAAAATCGGAAATCGTTCATCCTTCTGGCTGCTAGAAGCCTTGCCATACGTAACATGCTGTTGTAGGAAAATATAGACAGGTCACTATCTGGTTGTTATATCACAGCTAAACAAAACTCACACCCATTCCAAAGACACGGTTATCGCTCATTCTAGGTGTACTCTGATGTAAAAGATCTTAAATGACAACGAACCATAGCAATATGTAGCTGCACAGAAATATATTAATTAATGATCTTTCATTCCATTTTTTGGTAGTCTTCACCAACCTGTGGTTGAAAGGTACGAGATTCAAAGGTTTCATGTTTCTGTATGTGTTTCTGTATGTGTTTCTGTGCAGCTGTTTATTCTTATTCACAAACATAAACTGACGTTCAAAAGAGAGTACACTCCTGGTGATTTAGATTATTAAAAACAAACAAACAACAGAAACGTAAATATTTTGAAAGTGTGCTTTGATTGTGACTCGCAATCAACAATATTCAGGAATGTTTTTATCAAAAAGGTGGGTAGTTTCTTTTGTACGTCAGTTCATATGATGACATGACAAACGGAGGATAAATGTAAGGATTGTTTCGTTCGATGAGGACAAATCGATTTGCTGCCGCTTATGAGATCTTTTCTCATGATAATGTGAGAATATTCATCAGTGTACCCTCTGTTAACTATCCATTAAGACTAGACATATTCTACTACCTCGATGAAGTATTCTATATGTTCAGACTGGTGGATGAAGAAAGCTGATGTAACAATGCATCGTCTATGCAACGTTGTCCTGATACGTCATTGTATAAGTAAGTGAGTTTAGTTTTACGCCGCACTCTGCAACATTTCCAGCTATATAGCGGTGGTCTGTAAATAATCGAGTCTGGACCAGACAATGCGGTGATCAGCATCATGAGCATCTATCAACGGAATTGGGAGACGAAGACATGTGTCGACCAAGTCAGTGAGCCTGACCACCCGATCCCGTTTGTCGCCTGTAAAAGGTTGTTATATTTTGTATATACGAGGGTAGTGGTTAAAGCGTTCGCTCATCACGTCAAAGACCCGGGTTCGGTTCCCCACATGGGTATAATGTGTGAAACCTATTTCTGGTGTCCCCCGCGGTGATATTGCTGGAATATTGCTAAAGGCGGTGTAAATATATACTCACTCACTCACTTGTGTATACGACTCAGCTGTGTTGCGTCATCGTGACGCTGACGCTTCGTGACGTATCGCACATACGAGATAACCCTGATGCGTCATGGCAAGGTATTAGTATACTCTATATACAACGTGTCTCTGCTACGTAAATGTATGAACCTTACGCCCCATGACGTATCGTATAGATGACGTATCCTTCTGATGCCCCATTGCGTATGGCATATACAGTCTGCTCTTGTTACATCCATGTTTAAAACGGACCGCCTGAGACGTATAAAAAAACGCCAGGCCCTACAACATCAACGTACGGAGCTCATATTCCATGGAGTATAAAAACCGACATATCCTAAACATGGTATAATGTGACTTAATACCGGATAGCTTTTCTAATTCATACTCGACAGCTGACACATTCTCATGTGCAACAAAAACACTAGCTCTCTTAGTTATGTAAAGCTACAATATTGTGCTACTAATCTTACTAACCAATCGGCGTTTTTCCACAGACTTAGACATGAAAGGCCTACAAAAGAGAGAGAGAGAGAGAGAGAGAGAGAGAGAGAGAGAGAGAGAGAGAGAGAGAGAGAGAGAGAGAGAGAGAGAGAGAGAGAGAGAGAGAGAGAGAGAGAGAGAGAGAGAGAGAGAGAGAGAGAGAGAGAGAGAGAGAGAGAGAGAGAGAGAGAGAGAGAAGAAAAAGAGAGTGGAGATATAATATATCGTCAAAGTGATTCAGATGTTTATGCTGTTTTAAGCCATGAGCATTGTAATGTAAATACTTAACTTTGAAACGGGATCACAGGAAAGGGAGGCAACTCTGTACGCCTTGGACGACTCAGAGACCAATGCCTTCTCTTTCAGTGGGGACTATCAGAATACGTCGCTGACGCTAACTAGGTACCAGTAAGAATGAAGCGTCTGTAGATGAAATAACAAGGCGACTAATGAATATCGAGTAACGAGACTTAAATATGGCAGTCTTCGACACTGATGAAGATGAGATGCTGTAGATCCAGCGGTTTGAGTTGCTCAGCTTGTCATGAGGGAGCCATTTCCTGTATTTCCCTCAGCTCCCGGACAGTGCACAGAGCATGGAGATATTGAGAAAACAGTTTGATAAGACCAGCGGTATTCTCCTTTGACAGGCAATGGATATATAACGACATACACTCCTCCGTGAACTGACATATACACAGTTGTTGATCAATATGGCGCTCTTGGGTCGGAACCGGAAGTAGATTACGTGATAATTTGAGAGCGTAGGGCGCCGCCATCATTACCGTCAGCCTCTCAGCTAGAGACATCTGTAAATGAGAAATAGCACCAAAATGTAATGTTTTACCCACCACAACAATGAAGTATGTCACGTGAGATTCCTACTGTTTGTTGTTTTTGGTCTCAGTTTGGGCAAGTGGTAGCCTCATGGTTAAAGCGTCTGCTCGTCACGCTGAAGGCTCGGGTTCGATTCCCCACACGAGCACAATGTGTGAAGCCCATTTCTGGTGTCCCCCACCGTGATGTTGCTGGAATATATTCCCTTACTCACTCATTTTGGTCTCACTCTATTTGTTTACTAACAACATAGTATAACTGTACTACTGCTGGAGTGAGTGAGTGACTTTAGTTTTACGCCGCACTCAGCAATATTCCAGCTATATGGCGGCGGTTTGTAAATAATCGAGTCTGGAGCAGACAATCCTATGATCAACAGCATGAGCATCGATCTGCGCAATTGGGAACCGATGACATGTGTCAACCAAGCCAGCGAGCCTGACCACCCGATCCCGTTAGTCGCCTCTTACGACAAGCATGGGTTACTGAAGATCAATATTCTAACCCAGACCTTCACGGGTTTAATACTTCTTGAACAAATACTAACTCTGTATATACTCATGATATGGTCACAAACTGTACAATCGACTCGTCTTTTAGCGGAGATGTCTTATGAATTTGTCTCTCTATTTTTAAATATACGCTCGCGTTTTTTTGTATGGCTTTTGTTTACAGGAATGAAAAGTAAAACAAACATTTAAATGTTTTCGACGTAATCTTTTAACACAATTTCGACACATGCGATCTGCCTGACCCTCACGTCTACATAATCGGTTAAGGGGTCTCGAGGTTAATACATGTCGCGTGGATAAATGCTCATGATGTCAATCACTGGGTTGTCTGGTCCAGATTCGATCATTTAAACACTGTGATCACGTAGGTGTGATATTACTCAGTGCCGTGTTTCACAACAAACAAACAAATAAACAAAGTAACGTCCACTCAGCATTTACCTCATTACACGGCACAAGCAGGGTGAGTGAGTGAGTTTAGTTTTTAGCCACTTTTAGCCATATTCCAGTAATATCACGGCGGGAGACACCAGAAATGGGCTTCACACATTGTACCCAATTGGGAATCGAAGCCGGATGTTCGGCGTGGCGAGCGAACGCTTTCACCACTAGGCTACCCCACTGCCTCACCCGTGGAGGTCCGGGTGAGAATGAACCTTCATTCACCCATGCTTGTCGTAAGAGGCGACTAACGGGATCGGGTGGTCAGGATCGCTGGCATGGTTGACACGTGTCATCGGTTCCCAATTGCGCAGATCGATGTTCATGCTGTTGATCACTGGATTGTCGGGACCAGACTCGATTATTTACAGACCGCCGCCATATAGATGGAATATTGCTGAGCGGGGTAAAACTACACTCACTCACTCACTCACTCACTCACTCACATCCCCACTGCCTCCGTAGTAGATACGTCACTCACCTCACTAAGGTAATCACAGTCCTTAGTGTAGACCTTGATGAGTTTAGACAGTTTGTCTACGTCCTCGTCTAGACAGCTACACAATAAAAGGTTCACATCATCCTGAAAATAACATAAGCATATACATATGTCAATATTGAACACTCACACTGGATATTTCCCTGACCATGTAAAATGTATTTTCAACAACCGTAGAATTAGATTTCTTTCCATAACGTTATTCACCATTTTCAGACAGGGCGTTTCATATACATGTAGGGCTAAATATAAGCAAAACTCATGGCAGTTGTGGTGATAAATGCATTTATCAAACAATACCAAACCGTGATTTTTTGGAAGATCATTTTAAACATCTAATTGAAAATATCTCTCTGGCTCGGGAATATGACATCTACGCTCGGATATTAATCTCAATGTATTACAGTCTTATGTTTCCGGTGTTACCAAACTTTGGTAACAGCATAATTGTTTAGCCACTTTCGATTTTCAAGTATATACTTTTTGTCCGGTAGTGTATTTAGACCTACAGTAGTTAGATGGTAAAGTTGAATTTTTAAACATATTTCAACTTGACGAAATTCATGAGCTATACAAGTTAAATCGTATTTAAACGACGCATAAGCATCACTTTGGCCAAGGTTTCCACGAACCAGAAGCAAATGGCTTTACAGGTGACCTCTAACAGTGTTGTGGTACGTTAAAGACGCAAACAGCGTGTGGAAACTTGAAACACTTCAAGGGATACTTGCGAATTACATTAAAAGCGCCACGCGTGTGGTGCTGATCGTAGTTAAATCGATTTAAAAGTCTTCAAAGGCAGTGTATATGACAATAAATCTAATCGTTCGTGTTTGTTAGACACAAGAAAATTTCCATCGTGAAAAAATATTTTGTCCCAATATCTTCAAGGCATTCATTGTTTCTGTTTAAACCAATTATTATACGTTCTCAAGCTTTGATGTCTGAAGGGAAAGAAATGTGATCAAGATGAAGGTCTTGAGGAAAATGTAGAAGTTGGGAAATTCACTATAAAAAGAAACGTGAAAACTGACCGAGGCCATTTTATCACAGAGGAAGTGGATGAAAAAGTGCTAATGCTTGTTTTCATACACATTACAATATATGTGGGCGTTTCGTCGTCACGAACTTGTATTTTAAGAACGAAAAATGAAAACATGATGATATACTTACAAAACAGTCAGCCATGTTGAAATAATAGAAATACACCTGTTGAAAGTTAAGGAAATGCAACAGTAGACATCCAAGTATTAAAACGAGATATTGATATTAGAGGATTTAATTTTTAATTTTATTAATGAATTTAATTAAACAAACAATTCTACCGGTGAAGACCTGGTGTCATCTCTGGATTTCATTTATCCATTAACACCACTATTTTGTTCAAAACAGGTAATATTCCCGGAGTGGTACAAAAAGACAAACGTACGCACACGCACGCACGCACATACACATGGTCGCACAGACACGCAAGTGCTTGCACATCGCTTCGCAAGTTCAATCATTTTGATCGTGGCGTGATGTTTTCTTCTTTACTATCGGACAATGTATACACCCGATATTAGAATCGGAGGAACCACATGTCTTCCCTTTAGCTATTCTTTTAGAAAATAGCCATAGAGTCATAGACTATGTTCGATGCTCATGATGTCACTCACTGGAGTGCCTCTTACTTCCTACAGTACAGGGGGCGGTGGGGTAGCCTAGTGGTTAAAACGTTGGCTCGTCACGCCGAAGACCCGGGTTCGATTCCCCACATGGGCACAATGTGTTAAGCCCATTTCTGGTGTCCCCGCCGTGATATTGCTGGAATATTGCTAAAATCGGCGTAAAACTAAACTCAGTCAGTCAGTCCTACAGTCAATTGGCATAGCTGATTGGTGAGTGAATAGAACAAAACACACACACACACACACACACACACACACACACACACACACACACACACACACACACACACATAAAAAAATCAAAACCAAAACAAAACAAAACAGGCAGGCTCATCAACAAAGGATGCATTAAATCTTGCACCCCTCTCTTGAGTGATGGTCACCACGACCGGACGATCATCCGTGTACAGCGAACTGTTGATGTGTAGACACCGGCTCAACATCCGCTTGCAAAGCTGCAAAATATAACAAATTACATACACAAAATAAACAAATTATTTTCGACAGAATTAACAGATATGATTTCTTAATTTATTTCATCGAAATGAACTAATTTGAGATACATTAAATCATTGTTGTTTCGTAATCAATCGAAAAGGATTCACGTAGATGGCCCTTTTAATAGTATTCATATAATGTTGTCAAAAGCACTGGTCAAGAAGCTTACCGACACAGTTGTGTAATGCTTTATGAAAAATATAGATTTATTCTCTACACAAGCAACATTAATCCGCTAAACAAATGCTAATTTATTACAAATTGGTGTATTTATGAAACACGTAGTGACTATGAAACATGTATCACTATGAAATACTATATTTCTGAAACATGCAGTAATTAATTTTTAAACTCTTGATAGTGAATAATGAAAACAAATATCTGTGAAACATGTAGTAACTGCTTGTTCATCTACAGATATATATATAGTGCATGATAAATCGTTAACTGATGTTAAGCAACTATTTGTTAAACAATTGACAGTTCATGCTGAACACATATAGACATGAAAAGAAGTAACTACTTATTAAACGTTTGACAGTTCATGCTGGGCAGATATTGCTATGATCTAGGAGGCAAATAATTGTTAAACTATTGACAGTTCATGCTGAACAGATATAGATAGACATGAACGAGGAAGCAACTATTTGTTAAACAATTGACAGTTCATGCTGAACAGATATAGACATGAACGAGGAAGCAACTATTTGGTAAACAATTGACAGTTCATTCTGAACAGATATAGACATGAACTAAGAAGTAACGTCTTATTAAACTTTTGACAGTTCATGCTGAGCTAATATAGGTATGAACTAGGAAGCAGATACTTGTAAAACTATTGACAGTTCATAATGGACAGATATTGACATGAATTGAACTGGGAAGCAAATAAACTAGCGTCCAAAAGAAACGCCACAAAATAAAAATTATCATAAATTGTCAAAGTAATTGCCAATCTGCTGAAAAACGGCTGAAAACACATCCCTCGAACACAACCTGTCTATTCCCAGTGAACAAGTGCACGAGATTTTGATGATTGGTGAGGTGAATGAATTCGCACAGAATAAATGGAAATTTTGCACAAAGTAACCCGTATGACATGAGGGTATAAAACCTGACTAGATTTGTTCTCTCTCATCATGTGACACGATTGAAAACAGCCAACATGCCTCGATTGACCAAAGAACAGAGGGAAAGAGCAATTGGTATGCTTCAGATGGGCGCAACACAGGGGCACGTGGCCAGGATCATGGGATGCTGCACGTCCACCATCACCAGACTGGCAGTACTGCTGACAGACCCAGGAGTGGCAGACCCAAGGTCACGACCCCACAGGAAGATCGATATTTACGGGTGCTTCATCTGAGAAACCGCTTCCTCACTGTGACGTCATCAAGCGCCAATAGCCTTTAACATGCAGTCAGCAGACAGACCGTAGCAAGACGACTCCGTCAGCATGGTATTCGTGCCTATCGACCTTTCAAGGGCATGACGTTAACGCTCCGACACCGACGTGCCAGATTGAGGTTGGCCAGGACCGTAATGCAGTGGCAGCAGCGAAACTGGCGAAGAGTGCTCTTCAGTGACGAGAGCAGGTTCCACCTCTTCAAATCTGATGGTTGTGTTCGAATCTACCGACGTCGGGGCGAACGGACGGCACCTGCTTGCATCCAAGAAGTGGAGCATTACGGCGGTGGAAGCGTTATGGTCTGGGGCGAAATTTGTGGGGACCAGAAGACAGATCTCGTCATCATCAACGGTAATCTCACCGCACGTCGTTACATCGACGAGATTTTACGGCCTGTGGTGCTGCCTTACATGAAACGTCACCCAAGGACTCTGTTTCAACAGGACAACGCCACACCTCACACAGCTCGGATCACTTGTGACTTCCTCAACACTAACAACGTCAACCTGCTACAGTGGCCAGCGAGATCACCCAATCTGTCTCCAATCGAACAACTCTGGGACCAACTGGGGCAACGTATTCGGAAACGTCAACAGCCGCCATTGACTACGGACGCTTTGGCAGTTGCCCTGCAAGAGGAATGGCGCCGAATCCCTAATAATGACGTCAGAAGGGTCACATACTCAGTTCGACGCCGCGTTAGAGCCTACATCACTGCTAGGAGTGGGCACACACGATACTGAATCACCTGTGTTGTTCAGGACAGTTTAAGACCTTAAAGACGAATCAGCGTTGGCGATCGAATACTGGACACTGCACCCCTGTGTCATCCATGTGCCTTCAGAACACGAACTGTTTCGTTTTTCTAACTGAAAAGTTTCAAGAACTGTTGCTGAATGATTGTGTTTTACAATACAACACTTCTTGTTACCATAATTTGCTTTTGTTGTGTTGTAGTGAAGAAAACTGTTTGGTGGCGTTTCTTTTGGACGCTAGTTTACTTGTTGGCAGTGCATGCTGAACATAAATAGACATGAAGCAGGTAACAGCTATTTGTATATATAGAATCTCACCCAAGTGTCTTCTGATATCAATTATGGAGTTGATAAAGGTACAAATATTTTACTTTTATCAACGAGTGTTGATATATTTGATATCAGAAGACACGAGGGTGAAATTCTAAAAAATCACTCTTCGTTAGTTTTCAATGAAAAATGTCCATCTTTGAACACGGTGCTGCCATTAGACTTGCAGTGCAGCGATGTCATAGCATTGTGACGTCATCAAGTTCATGACGTCACAGCATTGTCAGGGCATTGTACAAAATATACTGTCAAAACGATATCTCCTAGGAAATATCGTTTGATCTCACACATGCAATATCTCCTGTGCAACACAGTTTTGGATAATAAATGATATCTACACATATCTCTGACAATTTTTGCTCGGATACACAAAACCAAACACTTACCAATTTGATATGTTTTCTTCTTTTCCACCGGACAATGTATACACCCGATATCAGAATCAGAGGAAAGACGAACACGGTCAAGCGAACAGACAAAATATCTGAAACGATAACAAGTGAGTCAATTTAACTTTATGCCGCTTTAGCAATATCCAGCAATATCATAGCGGGGGACACCTGAAATGGGCTTGACACATTGCGAGGAATCGCACCGGTCACCAGGCTACCCGATTGCCCCGAAAAGAGAACGGAATAGCATGTTTGAGGAAACAGTGTTAATTAACAATTAAACAACGTTTGATGTCGCCCTCAGCAATATTTCACCTCTATGACGGCGGTCAATACATATCTGGATACCCGTGTAGGTCCGGGTTAGAATATTTGATCTTCAGTAATCCATGCTTGTCGTAAGAGGCGACTAACGGGATCGGGTGGTCAGGCTCGCTTACTTGGTTGAGACATGTCATCGGTTTCAAACTGCGCAGATCGATGCCCATGCTGCTAATAACTGGATTGTCTGGTCCAGACTCGATTAATTACATACCGCCGTCATATAGCTGGAATATTGCTGAGTGCGGCGTAAAACTAAACTCACTCACTCACATATCTGGACAAGATAATCCAGTGATTGACAACGTGGGTATTGATCTAAGCTTTTCTTTTCCTGTTTTCAAAAAAATTCAAACTATAAATAGGCGGTCTGTAAAGAAAACAAGCCCCCACACAATCCAGTAACTGACATCATGAGCACCGTTATACGGGTACAATCATATGCAACAAGGAAGTCATCGAGACATTGCCGTGAGATCCCGTTAGATTTTACCACTACAGATGCCTTCTTAAAGCAATCTTGAGCGTTTCATATATCTCATATGCTTTGATACATGAGATAAGGATGAGCAAGACACATTCGAGGTTAAGAAGGATATTATTTATTCCTTCAAGGTCCTACAGTATCGATATTTCTGTACTCTGAAGTAAATACACGTCTTATTAAACATGACTATGTCCATCTTCGGAATATCCCCAAGCCAACACTAATCTCCAGGGCGGAAACACCACGCGTTCTTGATGAAGAATGATATCCTATTGTGCTGTTCTCTGTGGAGTTGTAAGACAACTTCCACAAACCGGAATTTTGTATAGCCCCAGCAAGCGACCGTAGCACGTGCCAAGCTCGAGCAGTTATGCCGCCTTTGCTTTTAATGATCAGCAGCCTTTTGGGAAATATCGAAGTTTTGAAGAAGCCGTTGTATCCTGAAAGCCGAATTTTTCCTGTCCAGTGCGTTGCCTTTGTGGAAATGCAGTTTGGAAATGTCGTAAAGGATTTGGTGATCTGAAAGCGAGATTAGGCATTCATATCCAGGAAGTACATTTAAATCGGCATACCCCGCAACCACCAGTCCCAGCCGTCAGGTTATGGTTCTCTCAGTGATATCTATAAGTTTTTTGACCTCATCGGCATTAAGCGTTCATTGATATCCAGCTTTGCGTTCAGCTTTTGTTGAAGTTTAGTTGTTCACCGTCCGTCATAAACAAGTATTCCAATAGCGCCGTTACGCAATGAATCCTACAGTATGAAGTATCGGCGCGAATTGTTATGTACCGTTTGTTATTGATAGCGCGTTAAAATCGGGCGAGCGAGATGAAGTTTTTTTCTTCCAGTTATGCGTAGTGAATTGGTTGTGGATAGTGAAGAAGGAGCCGAATTTTACGCTACTTCTGAACCGGTATTTTGTTACGCAGCATAATAGAATGTCTGGTTTAGCCATCGGCGAGTTTGAAGTTCTGCGCCATAATGAAATATTTTGTTCCGAAACCTGTCAACTCGTTAAGGTTTTCCAGCCCGTTTCGTTAATCCCCTTAGTTCCGCCATATAATAATTAGATTGATGGATTCTGGCGATCCGGTTCCATAATTCAAAGAGGGTTTTAAACAGTAGTTTAAATATTCGGTCGAAGCGACGACGTTCTTTGCGCTTATTAGTTTACCCGCCGCAAAACCTTTCATCTGATCCGCAATCCGGCATTCCAGCGCGCCAAAAGTCCGTCGAAAACCGGCGACCGCATGCCATTAAAGCTTCTCCGAAAGTGAATCATTCATAGCTGGGATTATTGATTTTGTATGATGGAGCCGGAAGAAGAAGGCGTTATCCACCCTGCAACCAGCACGGGTCGCCAATACGAGACTTCGGTGCTTAGTCAGCGGGATACAAGTTTTGAAAGGTAATAAAAGTTTTAACTTCGGTCGGAAAGGTACTGGTTAACTGCCTAAATCCATATCAAAGCCATCGTCGCGCCAAGCGTATAGTTCCAGTTTCCACGGTGTTAACGCCTGGTTAGTTTGTGTATAAGATAAAAGCGTTTCGAAAGTCGGCGGGAAAATAATTTGCTTCCAGCTATTGAAGAATTCCGTCTTTCAATCCCGGCGCCTCCAAATGGTAGCATCAAAGCCCGCCGTTCGCTGTAGATTTATAATGGGTTCCACCGAAGTACGCGCAACAAAGCGCCAGATTCATCCCAGCCGCAATTGTTTGTTCCGCTCGAACACGTCATCAATCGCAGTCCATATCAGAAAACGTTATATTGATCTTTCTGGAAGTCGTTCGCATTAAGATTTCTCCTTAACAGCGAGCCTTCGAAGTAATTGTTTCGCCAGCGCCAGCGGTATCCCGGTATCGAACAATGGATGGAAGTCGATCGTTGATCATGCGATAGTTCATCTACGTCAACGTTCTGGCGCCCAAAACGCCTGCCGCACCGCTCTGTGAAGAGCCCAGCGGAGAAGTAGTCATTTCTTTCTGTCGACCGCGGTTCTCGTTTTCAGCAATGCTAAAGAGCCATATTGTTCTCCCACCAAAGCCGCCCGTTTCCATTCTTTCGAGCTGGTTCTTTATCTGCGCCTGGTGACGATTCCGGAGCTCTTCGTCACGTCCAAAGTCCCATCTTCATGCCAGTTGTAATCAATATGAGGGTTATCGATTTGTGGTGAAACATTAACTTATTAACCGAAGGGGAATAAAACTCTCTCGATAATCCCAGCTTTAAAATGAAACCTTTGCATTTGCTGGAAGGAATCGGATAAAGTCGAAACCAGCGATAAAGCCTGACGGTCCTTCCAGTCGAAAGCCCTCAAAACCAGGTCAGCCTGCGTCCCGAAACCATATGCCGTTGTGCCTGTGCCTCCTGCGAAGATTGTTGTTATTTTTGAAAGCGAATCGCCGCAATATTCCAAAGCGAAAGTGCGGCGAATAACCCGAATTATGTCCGACATCGAACAGCATGAGATCGATTCGATATTGATGGATCTGTGGAGCGGAGCTTTGACCACCTTGATCCTGTTAGTCGCCCTTTGAGGATAAGGCGGCGGGCGGTTGAAGACCACTTTAACGTTTAATTTTTCTATTGAGTCCTTTATAATTGGCATTGGCTATCGTGATTGCATCTTTCTTGGTGAATATAGAACTTTCGGCGAAGGGAACTTAATGGCGGATTACGACGTTACTTCGTTTTCACATAGAACCGAGTTTTGCATTCTAAAGTTCCATCGTTATCCGCCCATAGTTCACCATCCCTGACAAACCAGCCCCACTTAAGCCCGTCAAACCAAAAAAGACTGTTTCTTTCTGAACTCATTTTAGTGTCACACAGAGACACGCATGTATCCACAAAGGTACAAGAACGAAAGAACGTTATTTTACGCCGCAGTCAACATACAAATAGCTATATCACGACGGCCTGCAGAGAGTCGACCCTCATACCGGCGAACGATAGCATGAACAACTATTACAGCACGGTGAAAAGCACAATTCAGCAAAGTTCACAGATCCTGACCTTTGTAATCACGCCTGAAGACAGTTCTTGCTCAAAGAGACCAATTTTATCCCGGAATCACCACTAAAAAATGTGTAAAGCAACGCTGGTTGAAGCTGCCAGAGCAATTCAGTACATGTACAGCATTTGAAATTACGAAAGTTCTATACCACAGTCAACAGCCATAAAATTTGAAATATCACATTGAAAAACACCGTGAAAGTGTATAGAATGTGTTCTACGCAAATAGAACCATAACGTTCCTCCTTGGAATCAATGTGATGCCCACTGTCGTCTCCGACGAACAGATAAAAGAACTAATGTTTTTAGGGATGAACGCAAACGGCAAGAAATGTTAAGTGCAACATGTGCTGAACGTCATGTTGGATTATATCAAGAACTCCCAAGGCATGTGTTTTAGTACACAGCGGTCAGCTTAATGACATAGTGAGAACCACAGTGGAAGTGTTTCTGGACTGAACACTGCAGGCAGTTCAGATTCTCCCAGCAATGGTGTTTTAATGCTTTGAAGTTGTGCAGGCAGTTCAGATTCTCTCCAGCAATGGTGTTTTAATGCTTTGAAGTTGTGCAGGCAGTTCACATTCTCTCCAGCAATGGTGTTTTAATGCTCTGAAGTTGTGCAGGCAGTTCAGATTCTCTCCAGCAATGGTGTTTTAATGCTCTGAAGTTGTCGTGTAGGCAGTTCACATTCTCTCCAGCAATGGTGTTTTAATGCTCTGAAGTTGTCGTGAAGGAAGTTCAGATTCACTCCAGCATTGGTGTTTTAAAGCTCTAGTGTGAGTTGATCGAATTTGTCGAAGCAATCCAAATGTAATCATCAAAGGTTGAAACCACGGTAAACCGGACGAAAGTCAGGCGCATTTTGACGATATATCCTCGTGTGTGTTTATACGACCTTCGCGGTGACCTGTTGTATGCGCACACACAGAATGGGAACATGGAAGCGATCTACTCACCTTTTACACATTGACAGTGTTGCTTGAAGCGTACATGATAGGGAACATGTATGCGATTAACAATCACGTTTAATACATTGACAGGGCTTGTATGCGTACATAGGGAACATGTATGCGTTAATCAACTCCATGTTTCAGCACATTTGATATTTAGGTTGAAATGCATGATAAGATGGTGTTGATTAAATCACGTTTTACAAATGCCTCCGACAGTGTTGAATGGTATAAGCGAATATGGGTATGCGATCAACCACAAAGTGAGCACAATGGAGCCAATGTCGAAGTCGCATGATTAGAATGATACGCATACGCTGATCAACGCTAGGCTTCATAATCTTT